TGTCGGAAGCATTGTAACGAATACAATTACTCGATCGGTCGAACGTGATTTCCTTCCTTAACCCTTGCGATCATCGCATTTCTCTGACATAACGCTGCTAATTAGTCGAAGCGAATTTATATTTGTGATTAAAAGTGATTGGCAAATCGTCCTTTTTATTGGAATCTTTTATTTCATCCGCATGTTTCTGTTTGCCTGTACTTATCAGAATTGAACAAAATATGAAATATTTGACAAATCCATGACAGATTGTGGCTACAAGTTAAATATGTTATCGGCAATGAAAATATAGTCTTATTGAATGAAATTCACTGAATTTTACCGTCACTGGCATTGACTATTTGTAAACAGCAAGCACAAACAATATTTTGCATGTACGAACGGCGCGTTGCGTCTCGCTATTTCACCTCGTCAGCTGGCCAAAATTACCTCATTCGTTTATAAGAATAAAAGTACGTGGGAGTGAAATAATACAATTATTTGAGCCCCTTAGAGCCGTTTCATACGAGTCTACGTGCGTCGCGATACGCGTGTGCGATACAGAGAGCAACTTAACATGCGAAAAACTATCGGGATATTTTATGATCGTCCGAACGCTCCCATTGAACTGCATGTACGATCGGTATCCATCATACGCGCATCGCGATGCAAGGCAGCCTCGTGTGAAACGCGTCCTAGTTGACAAGTGAATGAAGTCCCTTTTCTTACTATCGTAAAAAACATTGGACGTTTGAGTACTGTCGTAAAAAAAATTAAATACAAAATGTAACTTTATTGTAGCAAGATAAAGCGAAGGAATAGTAATCACGCTATTATGACTTAAAAATAAAAAGTCCATATTTGTTTTATTCATTTTATACATTCTATTCATTCAATCATGAATTCAATGAATTTCATTCATTCACTGTATTAAACAAACAGTAACGTAACGAATAATAAAGTGCTATTATTGCACTGAATTCTGGTACAACTTCTTTGTAAGAAAGTGACTTAGTATTAATGATCGTAAGTTACACAATTGTTATTTTTAATACACAAGATCAGTAGCGGAACTGGGCTTCGTCCTCTTATTAGTTCGGCCAGCTGATCTCATCTCTCATTGGCCACTGTTTTCCGTAAAGAAAGTCGCGGATTGCATTTGCGCTCAGGAAAAAGTTACTTTAGATGACTTCAAGAACACCTCGTTTCCCGATTTTGAATAATTTTTTGGACACCCTGTATGTATATTATCATAAATATGCTGCCTATTACCCTGACTTCGGTATTATAGCAATTGTGGTAGTGCATATATATATATATATATATATATATATATATATATATATATATATATCAGTTTCGTTATTTGTTAAGATAAAATAATACCGGTTTTAAATATGTATGGACATGTATATAATCTCCCTGATTACAAACGTACTTGTAGCATGCTTCCGATTATTAATCTACAAATATTTATCGTTACATTGCACGTATTTAAGAAAATGTCTATCGATGCTAGTTATTCTTTAACCCTTTCGCTCCGAACGACGGATATATCCGTCATCCATATGAACACTCGCGGAGCCGAACGCCGGATATATCCGACATCCACATGATCGCCCTCTGGGGACGAACGCCGGATATATCCGACATGCTGGTAAAATCGCGACCTAATTTTTGGACTGCACCGCCTCTTGTTACTATCGCGTGAATCTTTTGACGAAACAAACAAACGACAGTCCGAAATAAACGACACACCATTCAAGTTATATTTGTTCTACCTGCATTTCCCATTATTATTGTGTTACATGTCATAAAGGGATAGAAAATCGAAAGTACTAACTTTAGGACTAATTATTATGTATTATGTTTTGTATTATGAATATTATGTTTTATTTTATTACTGTATATTATATATTATTTCTTCACTTTTTCCATTGTTAATGAAACTTTTTTTACCTATTAAATAACTTTATACCTTATGCAGAAATTAGAACTATATTGTTTTAAAGAAAAATCCCTTTTCTTCCCAAATACACTATCCACGCGCAATGTGCACAATTTCGGCGGGTGGTTCCGTTCAGGAGGGGCGCTACGGCGGACTGAACCGCCGTAGCGAAAGGGTTAATAATCAGGTCAAAGGTATAGTTCCTCGTGCAGCTTCATAATTTTTAGCAAATTGTATGGTGTATCTCATGAATCGACATGACGCACTTATTGTGTTCAAATTTATCTAAAATACAAGAAAACAAATTTATTAACGAACGTTGATGGAGTTTCTGTTATATTTCCGTTGTAAGATATTCTGTAGTCAGTAAATCGAGCGTATTCCTCATTCTGGTTTGGATTAAATATAATAAGAAAATTGGAATTTCTCCATAAAGATTCGCAGTCGAATTACGAAACAGATTTGAATATTTTCACTCGGTTGGTCTCCCTAATTTCAAAAATTCAGGAATCTTCAAAGCGACGAACAAGAATGGCGTGCAACTTGTTGCCAACGTGTTTCGCTGTGCATTCCGGGAAACAATAAATCCTTCGACGGCGCAACGTTCTTAAAATTTCGCTGAAAAATGAACGCACATCGTGAAATCCACACACTCGCGCGATGTAAGGAGTAGCTCGCGAGACGTTTCTCAGCGTCAAATTCATAAATAATCCAGCGTTGCCTGAATTTTGTTGCTTTCAACACGGGATCTGCATTAAACGGAGGCGGGTAAATTTCGCTAAATAAGCCGCCCGTTATGGAAAACTAGGTCCGCGGGACACGGAGAATCTACTTTTAGTTGCGTCAGAGCAACAAACAGTGGGCGAACAAAATGGCGAGCGTAACGCAGCCTGTTTTATTAATACTTCGCCGTCTGACGTGTTTGCGTATTTCGTATCTCGTTTTATGGATCAATTTCGGCGGAAACTTAAATTCAGCGGAATACCTAGTTAAAAGTTACGCCAACAAATATGAGATGTTATTTTCTCGAACACCTTGCTGTGAACGTAATTGATTTTCGATGAGAAGTAAATAAAATTGCAAATTTTCGAAGTCCAATTTAGATCTTTCTATTCTTCGGTTTGATGAGTTTCATTAACCGTTTGGAATACGTCGTAATTAAGAGTTTCTTTTGAAATATTCAATGGACCATTTTCTTCGAGTACCTTGTTTAAATCGATGCACATTGCGTTATAACGTGCAGTAACTTTTTTGTTGCAGAATTTCAGAAAGTGATTCCAGTCTAGTATCTACAAAAAGCTGAAGACGAAGTATTCTCTCGAATTCCTTCTCTTGAATATTGATTCAAGGATACCGGCATTTAATCGGGTCAGAATAAATACACCGGTGCATATTACGTTCGATTTGTGTCGGGTAAGAGATATAAACAGCTAGTATGTTTACATTTGCTTTTTAACACGTTCCGTGCCGAGCTTTTTTTACTCGAATCTTCACAGTTTGATATTTGACTAAAACTTGATGTATTACGTGCAATTATTAATTCTCGTACACATAACAACGTAACAAAAACTTATCAACGCCCATTCTCGCGGTGGAAATTGATTCTTCGGTTCTAAATTTCTTGTAAACAATTTGTTCAGTTCACTAAGTAAACATGCAAGCGTGTACCATCGATGGTACACGTGGCACGGAACGTGTTAATATGTTTGGAAATTAACGATCTCCGAACGAATTTGCAACAACCTCTTTGATAGTAAAATTCGAATGCTGCACCGAAAACGAAGCATCTTATATATGCAAATACGATTAATTGCTTCGACTACGGAACGCGGTTCATCGGAGATCTATGCACTGGGGTTACTTTAAACGAATAATTCGATGAACCGCACTTGAACTTTAACCAGGTACGGAAGTGAAGCTCGGGGAAAGGAAGATGAGGCTATGAAATATTCAGACAAATTATATTTCAAATTTTGATTAATTTGTAACGTCTTGCTCGGATCATCGAGTTTCCTTCAACCAGTTAGCTGTGATGCCTCCTTTTCTGAGCGCGCACCTGTATGTGTCGCGAGAATCGAACGATGACGAGTACACTCGTCAAACACAGAGCAAGTGTCACTGCTATAATATAGGATCAAAAAGACGGTTTTATTTGATAAAATTAACAATTTTATTCACTTAACCCCATGACATACCATTTTCATCGCAATTACTGCGACTGGAAACTTTTCGATTCCAATAATTTCTTAGAAGGGAAAGAAAATTGATGTCTATTGCGTGCCTAAATTGACTCGAATGCTTAAATATTGATGGCAAGAGACTAGAATTTTATTCCAATTTTAAGGAATAGAGTAACATCTATACTCAATAAGTTATTACTAGAAATTTAATAAGAGATTAATATTAATACTACATATATATATATATATATATATATATATATATATATATAAGTATATAATATATAATAATAATAAGTATATAATATATATATATATATATATATATATATATATATATATATATATATAA